TTTATTAAAGTACTAGAAATTGAACAATTTAAAACAATAAAAAAAATAATTAAAAGACAGTTAAAAATCTTTATTTTTTATAGTATAAGGATGGCAAACGAGCACACAGTCAACCTCATGGTAAGTGGTTGCTGTGGCCCATAGGTATCTACATCTATCCTCGATAACGAATCAAAATGCAGATGCGTTGTCACCCGTGAGGACTAAGATGGAATGCCTCGTTGCCAGTAAAAAGGGTCTCCGATTCTCTACACTCATCAAACGAAACACATCAGCGTTAAGCTGCTATTTGACGCTGATATTCAAATTTAAAAAAATAAGATAAAAAGATCAACTAAAACCAACATGATTACGTAAATATTGCAACATAATAGAGGAATCTTATTATATTATTGATTTAGCTTAGGAGACATAGGACAATCATAATTCATAACTACCAAATGAGATGTGCGATGTGTAAGAACATCGGCTGGCCCTATCTAATATAATATGTCGCAGTAAGATGGTTATGGTAACCTTCACGAAATGACGATACTCCACACAAATGATGTGAACATTTTCTACACGAGTGTACACTACATTCAGTTACAATTAAAATTATTTCACTAGATTAGTCTAGTAAGATAGTTAAGATCCGCTGTCGTATAACTTGATTTTTATACGTGGTAGAGCCATGCTGCAGTTATATTAGTAGCATAGTTGTAGCGCGAATGGGTCGGCTCGACCGGGGAAGGACCACGCTCTCACAGAATACCAGCGTAAAATAGTAGCTTAATGCTGCTGTGTTTCGTATGGTGAGTGAGAGAACCGGATACCCTTTTTATTGAAAATGAGGCACTCCATCTTAGTCCTTACAGGTAAAAGCGAATCTGCATTTTGATTTGCAATCGAGGATAGTTGTAGATGTCTATGGGCCGCAGCAACCACTTACCATCAGGTGGACTGTGTGCTCGTTTGTCACCCTAACCTATAAAAAAATAACTATATTACGGTATGTAGCTGTAACCCTAGGGATATAACTATATCACAGATTCAACCATCTTACTGCGACATATTATATGATCTATCATCCTGTGGTGTCGTTAGAGGTGACAGGGGGAACAAAGCAGGAGATGCGTAGCAACGTCTTCCAAATAAAAAGAAACTACGGTTGCCAATCCGGCCGCCACGTGTGGCAACTACGGCACATATCTCGCCTACGAGGCAATCTATGGCGGAAGCCTATATTCACAAGTGGAGTTTGATAGGTTGTTACAGGTAACTGTAACGTTCTGTATGGTTTATAAAAGATAGCTTGATCTCTGCGACGGCTGTCAGTAAAAATCACGCCTATGAAGTCCTGAATTTCTTAGTAGTAAAGACAGTACCTGTCAATGTCATAATTTATGGGCATGCAGACCTAATTAGTGAATGGAAGTATAACATTGACAGGTACTGTCTGTACTACTAAGAAATTCAGGACTTCATAGGCGTGATTTTTAGTGACAGCTGTCGCAGAGATCGAGCTATCTTTTATGAACTATAACTGCCAACAGTCTGAGAAAGAAACCATAAGCTAAGAGAGCCCAAAGACAGCTAAATTCTCACCCACCTGTGGCTTTGCCGCGATTAGCGTTGTCAAATATAGATAAAGCCGGACACAGTCGTGCTTTTTGGTTGCGTGTCCGGACAAATTAAACGGTATCCGGCCGTCAGGCTTTTGTTAAGCTTTTTAAATTTGACCATTTTTTACATTTTTCACATACGCACATCACATAATATGACATTTATTGATATTAATATTGTAATGAATATTGAATGATTAATTGATTAATAATAAACAAGACTGATTTATTCAATTTCATTGTCATTTCATAAGAATTTGAGAAGATTTTATAGTAAATAATAACAAGCATTGTTTTACTTTAAAAAATTGTCATGTCATATTATGACTATAAAATTTAGTGTGTCCGGCCTTTTTACCAAAATGTCCGAATATCGCGCTGGTCTGTCCGGCTTTTCGGTTTCAAGAACCTGGCACCCCTAGCCGCGATCATGCTTTTGCTATAATTATGGAGTGTAGAAGTAAGGAGTACAGACTGTGTATTAAAAAGTGTCCATAGAAAACCGTTAAATAAGGGTGGCGCCACTATAGCTACGGGGTAAATTTTAAAGAACGTGCCGAAAAATATAAGTGGGATAGACGACTTTTTCGAGGTTATATTTACTAAATAAAATTATTTTAGATTTTAGAGCTACTGAGCAGTTTAGCAGCACACTTCAAACCGTCGACAACTGCTAAGTTCATTTCATCCCAGTAGCTATTCCAGCGCTGTTGTGGAGAGTTTTTGAACTGTTATTTACTGCTTACAGATGACCACTTTTTCAACTATTCTACTATGGGAGTTGGTACTCCTTACTTCTACACTCCATAGTTATAATATTTAATTTACTCAAACGCTGAACGTACTTACATACTGTGCGCTGGTATTTTTACTTATTAAAATACACTATAATCAATTTTAATGGTTACTGTGCATTCAAAAATAACACATGCTTAAGTTCATCATCACCCAAAGAGCTAATTTGAAATGTTCAGCCAGCCGTTAACCGAGCACCAATATACTTCTTACACGTATTTTTTATAAAATAATTTGTCTTTTTCATATATAAGCATATAAAAATTAATTTCTGGCCGATAGTCTGTCTCGCTAAAACTCGAAACTGAAGGTATTTTTGTGTGGGTTTGAGTGGGACCCTAGATTCACGATTGGACCCGGTAGGTGTAACTGTTATCGAGATCCCTAAATCACTCGTGCGAAGGCGAGGCGGATCAAGTAGTTTATACACAACAGTCTCTCTCTCTGTTAACTTATGTATAATAATAATAATAATAATAATGTCCTCCAGACCGAATTTCGGCCGCTGAGGATAGCCATCGGCGCAAGACAGGATTAAAGTGCCTAAGTGTATGCGCAAGCACAGGTGCACTCTCTATTCCCTCACTCTCATAATCCAATGGGACGGTAAACCGACACGACCGGAGAGAGATCAGGGGCAGGACCAACGGCTTTACGTGCTTTCCGAGGCACGGGGGTGAGACACCGCCAACTTCCTGACTCCGGGCAGCTACTGAGAATTTCTTGACAGAAAAACTCAATAATTGATTTTTAGCCCGACCTGGTATTTGAACCCAGGACTTCACGATCAGCAGTCGCACTATGTAGTAGACCAACCACTAGACCAACGAGGAACCCATGTATATAAAATTTATGAATAGATTATCAGGCGTATAAAACTCAAGATTAAATTGTCGACTTTTAATTGCTTGTTAATTTTGTGTTTGTTAGACCGTTGGGGGTAATATTTTTAATACTGTTGGCAACATGAAAAGCAAAACAAGCATTCCACATTGCAAACGTGCCTTATAGCTGTTTATTACTCGTAAATTCCTTTTTATAAATGTTTTGGCTTGAAACGGTTTAGTTTTGACTTGTTATAATTTTATTTGTTTCAAGGTAGTATACAAATGGTATTGCTATCTTTAGACGCCGATTGATTAAGTATTGTTTTGAAAATTTTACTTTGAATTTAACAGATATCAAAAGATAGCTATTGTTAAGGCCCTATTGACTTTTTATTTTAACACAGTCTTATTAATGGCCAGCAATAATATAACGTTGAACTGAGTGTTCAACCTTATATTATTGCCCGTGCTGGATTTTCTATGCTCAGTGTGTATACTCGGTTAAATGTTCCTTTAAACATTTTTACCTGGTTTACTTTTATCTAAGGCTCCTTTTACGAACTTTCCTTTCATGGTATAAACAGTAATTGATGCATTTATAATAGTTGATATATTTCCTTACGATACGAAAAGGGACAGGGCCTTCTATCGTAGTTATGGAGATGAAATTTGCAGGCGATATTTTTTAATTCTTTATTACATTCCCTGTTACAAAAGAACATAAAGGGCCGACTTAAAGCCACTATGCAATCTACCAGTCAACCCATAGAGTGGTGTGAACTTGACGTAGGTGTAGCAATATAGAGAGAGAGAAAAAATAAACAAAAATTCTATTTGAAAATATACCAAATAATGTATTAACAACAGTACATTTAACCAAATGTACTGTTGTTAATAGATTATTGATGACGCTTGTAGCTTAAAATCAATTGCTATGGTTAGAGACAGTCAGTCAGATAGTCGCATTTACTAATTATATATGTATTTGTTTGTACAATGTAAAATTATATACATTTTACATTGTACAAACAAATACATATATAATTAGTAAATGCGACTGTCTCTACCCATAGCAATTGATTTTAAGCTACAAGCGTCATCGAATTATACCATCTTGATTCTGCTGTTGAACATATTATGGCTCTCCCATAATTGCCTTATGTCTTAGGCCACCTAACACTTTCATCTATAGACTTCTAACATGCTTTAGTAAATTATAAGCTATTTACGTGGTCAGTCTATCGTTTACCATGTTTATCAACATACTAAGTAGATTTAAATTTAATATACAGGCTGTTAGTGTAAACACTGTTATCCTTGAAGCCAGTGGTATGGTTTCACTTATAGAACGTAAATTCAATGAAAAGTAACACCTTTTTTTTTTAGTAAAATCTCAATTTTTACTTAATTCCTCAATTTTTTGCATGTCTTAAGCCAGGATGTAAGTATGAAGGAAAAGTTACATCACAGGTTATGTGTACCTATTGTGTTTTTATTGGAATGTTGTATAGGTAGCTTGGGACGGCGGTGATCTTTACAGTGATTACGTCACACGGGCGCATAGGGTATCCATGAATTTACGGACGGTGTCGGACAGAAACTTTTTAAATTTTATGAAAGAAAATAGCGTTTTTTTTTGAAATTCGGATAGATATTTTTATATTAAAGCCCAACTACCTATGGTTTTAGTGACAACGGTGTTTACACTTACACCTTGTAAAGTATGCTAATATTGTATGGAGGCAAAATTTTAACGCGGCATTGTTTTGGACAGTCGTGCGGCATCTGCACGATGTTCCCGTCGTGCATATCCCTGCTGCCGCGGAGGAACGAGCCTCGTCCCCCGCGCCCGGGCCAGGCGCCCGTCGTGCTCAACGTGTACGACATGTACTGGACTAACTGGTGAGTTCACTGTTCGGTTTTAACTTTTATTACGTTATTGCTTTACTATATTCGCATTATCCCATCCAGACCGAATTTACGGACTGCTACTGATAATTTCTTGACTGAAAAACCCACTGATTTATGACCCGACCCGCGAATCGAACCTTCATTGTCAGCAATCTCTGATATGACCACTAGACCACAGAACCAGTCACAGTCACACAGTACCAGCGACTCACAGAATACCAGCGTCAAATAGCAGCTTAATGCTACTGTGTTTCGTATGGTGAGTGTAGAGAACCGGAGACCCTTTTACTGGAAAAGAGGCATTCCATCTTAGTCCTCAAGGCTGACAACGCATCTGCATTTTGATTCGCAAACGAGGATAGATGTAGATGTCTATGGGCCAGAGCAACCACTTACCATCAAGTGGACTGTGTGCTCGCTTGTCACTCTTTTCCTATTAAAAAAAAAACCAACGAGGCAGTCAACTACTCTGCACTACTCTAAAACATTTTTTTTTTGTGATAATTCACTCTTTTTTTTAATGTCATCGTAACGATTATTGCATTATAACATGTTTTTTTATTGCCTTTCTATCTGTGTTTAATATCACTGTTTGAGTTGCTTAAAGATTGAGGTGGAGGCCAGAAGTATTAACGAATCACTAATTCACGAAGCCCCGAGCCGTTATGAAATCGGAGACATCCACTGTCCTAAATTATAGATAGGCGTCGCCCCTGTAATTACTGGTAATAATAATTTATTATGAGGTTGCTTTTTGGAGTCTTATTTCGTTATTTTATACTGAAATAATTACTCAAGAATTAACTTATATTAAAGATAAAGTACCTGGATGACCAAGCTTTCTTCGGTATTTTTTTTTTGGAAATAATATTTTTGATTTTATTGACATAATAGAAAAAACTGAACTGGTTATTTGAATAAAAAATCATGAGTGCAATTAGTTTAATTAAAATTTTCGTATTTTTAAAAAAAATACTAAAAATAGGTCTTGAAATAATAGATTTTCTCACAAAAGAAGGGAACTTGATAAAAAAAGGAAAAAAAGTCTGACCGAAGACAGTACGCGAACGGCATTACGATTTCGCGACCGCCCGATATCCACTTGAGCTATTACGACCATTAACACAGTGTCAAAATTTACCTTCTTATATTGTAGCAGTTTTACATTGCCTGAAAACACGGACAAAAAGACATTTTTTAAAAATTAATCCTAGCTAGATCGATTTATTGCCCCCGAAACTCCCTGGACACAAAATTTTATGAAAATCGTTGGAGCCGTTTTCGAGATTCCGATTATATATATATATATATATATATATATATATATATATTACCCGTTTAAAGGTATAGGATTTGGCTTATTTTAATTTGTACCTTAACTTAATAAAAGAGCACAGAGCGCTATTCAATATAAAACCTCTACTGCCTTTTATATTTAGATCACCTTAAATAAATTTAAAACATTGTATTAATTTTAGTGCAAACTTGAACCCGCACAAGAGCGTAGGCTGCGTTCCAAAACTACTTGTGATGAGAGGCGCGCTCCCCGCCGTGAAATTAAATATTTAAGTACATTCAAATCTTCATAACTATCGAGCTATAATTGTGAAGAGCTAAAAATAAATAGAGTTAACATTTAATATACATTTTGAATAAAGTTTTAGTGATATTTTTTTTTACAAATAAAAGATATTGTTACGACTACCTGCGAAACTGTGTCTGAACAAGACCCGAACTTTATATGTAGGGTAGGATTAGTTGCTCCTATTTTATGTGGGATTCATACCAGATACTTATCTCAGATAGTAATAATGTCCTCCAGACCAAATTGCGGTTATGGTAGCCAGTCTCAACGGAGATCAGTCATCTCTGCAGGACAGGATTATAGTATCCATATGAATGCGCTAGCGGTTAGCACGGGTGCACTCTCTAGTCCCTCACTCTCATAGTCCGATGAAGCGATAATCCGACACAACTGAGAAATCAGGCGGAGGACGAATGGCTTTACGTGATTTCCTAGATATGGGGTAGGGTTGAAATACCACCAACTTCGTGACTCCGATCTGCTGCTGAGAAATTTTGGAAAGAAAAACCTAATAACTGATTTTGGCCTAACCGGAGTCGAACCCAGGACCGTTCAGGAATCGCGTTTGCAACCACATGATGTTATAGTAATGTAGTGTCGGTGTAAGAGGACCCATCATCACATTTCGTATGAAATTGAAATTTTCACAATGGTAAACTATTTATCACGTATATTCGTTTCGTCAGCTTAACGTTTTCAACGTGGTAGAGCCATGCTGCAGCTATGTTATGGTTGTAGTACGAATGACGAATGGGTTGGCTTCGTCAAGGTAGGACCACGCTCTGGCAGAATACCAGCGTAAAATAGCAGCTCAATCTTTCTGTGTTTCGTATGGTAAGTGAAGAGAACCGGGGACCCTTTTTACTTGATACGGGTTATTCCATCCTAGTTCTCAAAGGTGACAACATATCTGTATTTGAAATTGTAATGGAGGATAAATGTAGGTGTCTATGGTCACAGTATCCAATTACCATCAAGTGGACTGTGTGCTCGTCTGTCATTCTTATCCAATAAAAAAAGCGTGTCCCACGTTGCATGTTTGGCAGGTACACGGCTGGGGCCGGCGTGGGCGTGTTCCACAGCGGCGTGCAGGTGCACGGCTCGGAGTGGGCATACGGCGGACACCCGTACGCCTTCACTGGGGTCTTCGAGATCACACCGCGCGATGAACGTGAACTCGGCGAACAGTTTCGCTTCAGGTAAGGTCACACAAAATTATTATATTCTACATCGAGCTCGACCACGTACTCTGTATACTTTCAGAAGATATGATTTTGGCTGTGAAACGTGAAAGGAAAAAAACCAAGGGGGCAACAACTTTAAAAGAAGAAAGAAAGGGGTAAAAAAATTTTTAAATAAAATAGTAGATCCTTCCCTATATCCGTGCAACGCGTACTGAATACCGCTGTGTGTGTAGATGCGCTTTGTTCGTAGATTGAATAATTTCGGGGATTCCCGTGTACTTAGTTCGGTCCAGTCTGATAATATTCCCAATTCTTTGCGGGTTGTTTAGTGAAGTGCTCGCTATTTTAGTAAATATTTTAAAATTGTATTGTATTTAATTGTACTTAAAGTTTAAGAAATTGAGAAGACGTTTTTAAATAAAATACTAGGTCCATCCGGATATCCACTCAACGCGGACTAAAATCCGCCGTATGCGTAGATGCGCCTTGTTTAGTTAGTTGTTAAATTTCGGGGATTACCGCGTACTTTAGTGAGGCCCAATCTGATTGTGTCCACAATTCTTTGGTATATTCTTAAGGTGTGGTAATTCTTAAGGTACTCGAAGCTTAAGAAAAAGAGAAATTACTTAATAAAATAGCGAAAATCTGCTGTGTGTGTAGATGCGCCTTAGTTATTAGTTGTATAATTTCGGGGATTCCCGTGTACTTTAGTGCGGTTCTGTATTGTCAGACCTTCTGACCCGTGGACCTGACAAGACAAGGACTTTAAAACCCTCGTGTGCGTTAAGCAATGCAGTTACGACTTATGTCTACTTAGAGGCATCGGTCATAGTGAATATAATTACGCAGTATAAAACATATTAAAGTATTATATTTATTAAATATAATAAAAATAGCAGAGCCATCGGTAACTGAAGGCGTTAAAATTTTAAGACCCAGCTAACATAGCTAACTTTACAATGCATTTCACCTTCGCTCCAGGGGTAACTCTACGTTACCTTCTTTGTTTCAAACTTGCAACTTGTGGTAGGACTCCTTTGGAGTTAGAGGTACGTTTGGGCAGGTAGTAGGTACCACCATCTTGCCTTATTACCTATTTCTGGCACAAAAAAATAGTACTTCCACTGCTGTGTATTTTGTTCTTCTGGTCTGAAGGGTATGTAGGTCATAAACAGTGTATACTCCATGTAACGTCATTCGATTTAACGACAAACTCCCTAAAGCGTCGCAATCACTCGACTTTGGTTGGTGTAGCTTGTCTTCCATACCATAATACACTCTATATAGCATTCCACCCACTCGTAATAACGATAACAATTAAATAACCAAAAGTACTTTTTAAGTTAAAAACTGCACAACTGTGTACATTAGTTTGTTATTTTGTCGCTTTATTATCCTAGCCAGTCATAAACTAGACTTTCGGCATCATACATACCAAACTCTCTAAAAAATCCGTTGTTTTGTTTACAAATTGGGATTGCTTGCACGTGTAGCCTGTTGTTATTCATGGATTATCTAATACGTTATCATATTCTTAGTTGCTCACAGACTTTCAAACTGTAAACATGGCAAGTAAGAGAAAATCACTGCATTGACGAAAAAGTGTTTCTAATACAAATTTTTCTTCGTTCCTTTTAACGACAATTCTCTATAACGTGAAAATATGCACAGAGTGTCGTTATATAGAGTTTAAACTGTAATTACATGCTGTGAGGCATTCCATCTTAGTTCTCAGAGATCTCATTATGTCGTATGGTATTTTGCTATGGGGACACGCGACTGACACTGAAATTATATTTATTTTACAGAAGAGGGCCATTAGAGCAATATATAATTTAAAACCAAAAGAGTCACTGAGACAAAAATTTAAGGAAATCAATATATTAACTCTGGCCTCTCAATACATTTATGAAAATGTAATGTACGTACACAAAAATAAAAGTAGTTTTGCGAAAATAAGTGATATTCATTCTGTAAATACTAGGAACAGACACAAGCTAGTAGTACCAGTTACTCGACTCCACCGAGTCAGTAATTCATTCTTGGAGCGATGTATATGCTTTTACAACAAAATCCCAGAAAATATACAAAATTTGTCATACACGAAGTTCAAAAATGTTATTAAACTAAGTTTGTATAAAAAGGGTTACTATAATAATAAGGAATTTATGGATGATAATAACCCCTGGGAAGGGTGATCGCTACCAAGCTATTTCTAATTTGTCTTGTGTTGCTAATTGTAAACATGATTGCAAGCTATTATTGGAAAAAAAATAGTCCCGCTGGGTTTCTTGCTGGTTTTTCCCAGGACAGAGGTTTTTTTTGCGAACCAGTGGTAAATGAAAAAATTGACTTTCAATAAGTATTTCTTATAATTTACATTGAATAAAAAAGTTTCTGTTTCTGTTTCTGACAACGCATTCGTAACCTTCAATGAAGTTGGCTTCAATAATATTTAATAATATAATAATAATAATATTCCACAACTATCACACAACGCCCTCTAGTCCCAAGCTAAGCAGAGCTTGTGTTATGGGTACTAGACAACTGATAAACATACTTATATATTTCTAAATACATAAATATTATAGATAAATTACACCCAGACACAGAACAAATGATCGCGCTCATCACACAAACATTTGTCCTGTGTGGGAATCGAACCCACGACCTACGGCATAGCAGTCAGGTTCACTAACCACTAGACCAACAGGCCTGTCAATGGTGGACTGTCAGTTCGTTTGTATGTTCAGTTTAATGAAGTAAAGAAGTTTGTTGCGTATATCCACTAGCTGCAGTGACTACTTACGTTCAGATAGATTGTTGCTCGCTTGTCCTCATATAGGTTTGCTAGGTGTACAAATGACGTCAAAATTACCATCTTCAAAGCGTACTGTCAAACATTTTACATCTGTAGCCTGTGGTGTGACCACACCCAGAGGACCTACAATGCGCTTAGAATTCAATATAATAATGCCTTCAGGATGCTAATGGGACTTCATTAACACTGTAGTGCTTCAAACATGTTTGCTGAAACAATTGTTGATGATTTTATAGCATCATAAGCAAGCGAACAGCGTCAGGGTTATGTAGACTACAGAAGAGCTCGAATAGTGTCTTGAGGATATTTCAAGATAGGCTTGACTATCCCATTCAGAGGCATTGGATCCTAATGCATGTGGGTAGGAAATTAAAGTTTCTTAACTGATTGCTCTTGTTCTTTTGATATAATTATTTTATCCTTATTTTATTATTATATTTTTAATAACATAGTTTATGTCAATTACTAGTTTTTTTTTTAAAGAAGAGGGGGCAAACGAGCATGTGGCTCACCTGATGTTAAGTGACTACTGCCGCCCATGATCAACCGCAACACCAGGAGAATTGCAGGTGCGTTGCCGGCCCTTTAGAAAGGAGTAAGCTCTTTTCTTGAAGGTCCCCAGGTCGTATCGGTCCGGAAAAATCGCCGGTGGTAAATTATTCCACAGAGAGGTTGTACGCGGAAGAAAACTCCTTTTGAAACGTACAGTGGTGGACCGCCAAGCATCCAGATGGTGTGGATGGTATCGGGACGTTTGCCGTGTAGTGCGTTCACGAAATTTGGCGGCTGGGATTAATCCGAACAATTCCTCAGAGCACTCCCCGTGATAGATGCGATAAAATACGCAAAGAGATGCAACATCTCTTCGCAGCGCCAGTGAATCGAGCCGATCGGAAAGCACTCGGTCGTCGACGATTCGAGCCGCTCTGCGCTGGATGCGGTCAAGTGGAAGGAGCTGGTACTGGGGAGCCCCAGCCCAGAGATGGGAACAGTATTCCATGAGCGGCCGAACCTGCGCCTTGTAAAGTTGCAGGCGGTGTGCCGGCATGAAATACTGTCTCGCTCTGCTGAGCACGCCAAGCTTTTTAGAGGCCAATTTGGCCTTCCCTTCCAAGTGACCACGAAACTGCACGTCACTCGATATGTCGACGCCGAGGATTCCAATACTGGCTGAGGCAACAAGGGGAGTGCCTTGAAACTGAGGTGATACGACAAAGGGGTTCTTTTTAGCGGTTAACGCGCAAACTTGTGTCTTCTGGGGGTTAAACTGGACTAGATTTAGTCGCCCCCAATCCGAGACTCGACTTCAGACACAAGTTTGTCCCGGCACTCAGAGACGTTTTCCCGAGAAATATTGGCTCGGCCGGTGTAAAGAGCATCACCAGTGCTGTCATCTGCATAGCAATGAATGCTACGGGTTTGCAACATATCATTGATATGCAGAAGAAACAGCGTTGGCGATAGCACGTAGCCCTGTGGAACACCAGCATTAATAGGCTTGCAATCGGAGCTTGCACCGTCTACAACGACCTTGATGCTCCGATCTGCAAGAAAACTGGTGATCCAATCGCACAATTTCTCGGGAAGCCCATAGGAAGGGAGCTTCGAAAGAAGCGCTTTGTGCCAAACCCGATCGAAGGCCTTCGCAATGTCCAAACTAACGGCCAATGCCTCCCCCTTGGACTCTACTGCCTCCGCCCATCTGTGAGTTAGGTGGACCAGAAGATCACCAGCTGACCTACCACGGCGAAAACCGTATTGGCGGTCACTAATCAGCTGGTGATCCTCAAGGTACCTCATGGCTGGAGTTTACAATGGACTCCATTGTTTTGGAGAACAAAGAGGTGATGGCGATAGGTAGTTGGACGGGTCTGAGCGGTCGCCTTTTTTAGGGATCGGGTGGACGAAAGCCGTCTTCCATGATTTTAGGACTACGCCTAGAGTAGGAGTACCGGAAAAGACGCGTTAAAACCGGTGCCAACTCTGGAGCACACGTCCTCAGCACAATTGGGGGGATTCCATCAGGCCCACTCGACTTGTGGATGTCCAGGGAGAGGAGTGCTTTGCGAACCGAGCGCTGAGTGAACTGCACTTCCGGCATGGAGCACTCACACCGCGGGATGGTCGGCGGCGTACTCCCCCCGTCATCGAGAGTCGAGTTAGACGCAAAGAAAGAGCCTAGAAGCTCGGCTTTCTCCTTTGCGGTGTGGGCCAGTGAGTCGTCCTCCCTGTGCAGAGATGGAAGAGATGGCTGACAGAAATTCCCCTGGACAGCCTTGGCGAGAGACCAGAATGCACGGATTCCAGAAGGAAGACGAACTAGTCTCTCGCCAATTCTGCCTATGTGCTCTGACTTTGCCTTGGCAATGACTCTTTTGAAGGACCTAGAGGCGGAATTATACTTCTTTTTTAGAGCGCTGGTGTTTACATCCCTGGACGCTGATGCGTCAGCCCAGGCTCGGTAGCACTCCTGCTTATAGCATGATGCTATTTTACAGGAGCGACCAAACCATGGCTGAAATTTGCCTCCAATGGGCACCACAGAGGAAGGAATAAAAAGTTCCATACCCTGAAGTACCACATCAGCGACAGAATCCGCAACAACGTTGGGATCGTCCGGCGAGAAGCAAACCCGCCTCCAAGGGTAGGATGCAAAGAAAGACCGCATCCCATCCCAATCGGCTGACCTATAGTGCCAAACACGGCGGCAGCCTGCAGAATGCAACCGCGATTTCAGCGTGAGTGGCACCACACTCCGGACAAGACAATGGTCCGAGGAGCCTAAAGGGGCGTCGACGGAAATCTGATATCCGTCCGGGTGAGAGGTCAGCAGAAGGTCCAACAGGGAAGGTGCATGATCCTCCACATCTGTAATCCGCGTAGGCGAAGTAACCAGTTGTGTCAGACCATATGCCAAGGCAAAATCATGAACAGATCTCCCCGCATGATCGGTTAAACGTGAACCAAGCCATTCGGCGTAGTGGGCTTTAAAATCGCCGAATATCACGATCTCTGCGGAGGGGATCTGCTGTAGCAACGAAACTGCGAAAACCAGACGTGGTCGAAGAGTCCGTCTGTTTCGGCATTACCGCTATGGGACCTATAGAGGCACCCGTAGACGCGCGGATGGTCGTCGCTGTCTACGCGTAGCCAAAGGATGGACAGGTCCGAACCTTCAAGTCTGCCGAGGCGTCGAGAACAGATGTGCTCTCCGACGTATACGCAAACTCCAGCCCGAGGCACAAGGGAGTGTTCCAATTTGTACTTCGGGCAGGAGAGATACGAAACATCAGCCGGAGAGGACGCCTGCGTCTCGTTCAGAAAGAGCAGAGCCGGCCTCGCCGTCTCGAGATGGTAGTGGACGGCGTTTAGATTAGAGTGAAGTCCCCTGATATTGCAGAAATTCACGGACAGCGTGGCAGGGGTCGCCTTGGTCTTGTTGCTCCGTTTGCCCCGAGCAGTTTTAGTCTTGCGCGGAATTTTGCCCCCCCCCCCCCAGAATACGCGGGGCAGCCTGAGCACCCACGCTCAGAAGTGGAGAAACATGGTCGTGGATGCTCAGCGAGGGATTCTCCAGGGGTGCTGGTACCCTCCTGGGGTAGTCTATCATTTAATTCCGCTACCATGTTGATGGGGGGGGGGGGTTTTGGGCCTCCGGCCACCTGCACTCACCAGACGAAACGCGGAAGCAGAGCTTCCATTTCACGCCGGTATTCTGTGAGGTCGTGGTACCACCCCGGTTTGAGCCGGCCCATACGTGCGACAGCAAAGCTGCCGCGTGGCTCTACCACTGTAGTACTAGTAGTACTAGTAATTTACATAAACTGGTATAATAGTAAGTACTAGTAGTTATTGTATGGATATGTATATCTGAAATAAACATCATTATTATTAAATAAATAGTCTCCTTCATCAGCCCCCAAAAGCCCAAAGCTGAACATGAGCCTGTACCGTTGTAGAAAGGATTTGCCTTAATTGCCACGCTCGGTAGTTGGATCGGCGATATCAGTACCAGACGCCTTGCAACTTAAGGCCCTGTTAGAAATTTTTCTGTCTGTTTACATAAGTCTCTATTTTGTTTCAGACAAAGTGTACACATAGGATATACAGACTTCAGCGAGGAAGAAGTGAGACGATTGGTGACAGAGCTCGGCAAACAGTTTCGCGGCGACAGGTGAGGACAGATATAAGATTTACCGTCATCACCAAAGACTTCTACGTATACTATTAGACTGACAATTCAGAAAAAAAAACTAGCACGGTTAATAAGCCTCACAGTTACTGTTTTTAGGCAAATATGAAATATAAAGTTACTTATATATCTAGCCGTGGTAGCTCAGATGGTTAGAACACGCTGTAAATTGCACGGTACGCGAGCAAACCGGGTTCGATCCCCGTCGGCACCAATGAAATTGTTAATAGCGATTTTAAGTGCTGATTTATCACGTGCTCGGCAGTGAATGAAAACATCGTGAGGAAACCTGCATGTCTGAGAAATAAGAAAATTTTTTTCGATGACATGTGAAGTTCGCCAACACGCATTGGGGCAGCTTGGCGGACACTTGTTTGTCCTTAAACCCTCTCAGAAATTAGGGTAGGCTTGTGTCCAACAGTGGGACGAATACAGGCTGTAAAACACATTGAATAAGCGCGCACATAAATAATAAAAAAAACTGAAGTTGCCAACCCGCCTGCCAAGCGTGGCAACTATGGCAAATCCTTTTATGAAGTAAACCGTGAGGAAGGTCTGTATTCAGCAGTGGACTTTCATATCTATATACTAAAATCAACAAAATTATGGACGTACGAAGCTTAAATATTAGAGTTAGAGAATGCAAAAGGAAACTATTTGACTATATTCATAAACTGAACTATAACGAAACTGAACAATTACTTAATGTACCTTGTTAAATATTTTATTCAACCTCCTACACTCATACACAAACTATCACCAGGCCTCTATCACTCTTGCTACCTGCGTGAAATAATTACCTAAAATCGCGACGCGCCCGGGCGAAATAACGCAGTCAGGGCTAGCGCGTTGGAGGCGATTGAATGTTAAAGTTTTTTAACGCTGTTTACGTAAATAGTTTTATGTAAATTGTTGTCGAAATAGTTTTTGTTTAGTGTTTAGTATATTTAATTGTAGGTAAAAATAGTTGTAAAAGTTTTAATGTATTTTAAAAATTATATAATGTGTATATTACCTATTTGATAAATTATAATAGCAAAACGTCGTTCCTACTATAACTGTTGCTTAGATGGATACTAAATGAAATAAAAAATAAAAATATAAATTTCTTTGCAACTTTCCGCTAAACATATAAAATGATGTGTCTTACCTGGATTGAAGCGCACCTCCCGCCCTCCCTCAATTGCATACACTAACTCCGTCACTACTAGACCAAGCACCACTACTCTCAACACCACTATTCCAGGCAAGACACACCATCGACGATAATACGACACGTGTTTCGCCTCTACACGAGGCATCATCAGGTAATATAGACTCTACGGCGGCTGACCGCTAAGAGCTTAGCGTGGATTTCCGCAAAGTAACGCCTGATTCTATCAATTAACTAAATGAAATGACAAGTTACCGAAGAATTTTAGAAGGAAGTTATGAAAGGTGAATTTATTTAATTTTTTTGTTAGACAGGTACTTACAGCAAAAGAGAATTAAGTAATAATTTGGTCTACAGAAGAAATACCTAAGTACTTTATTACAAAAATTAATTAAAATTTACTTCACTATCCAAGTATTTACTTACATACCTATACTTGTCTTTTGTAATTAAAATATTTTGAGTTATAATAACACAAAATACTGAAATTAAAATTTTGTATACTAACAAGATTTTTAACTAAGTAAAAGATCACATTTAAGGTTTATTTGTTGTTTACACTATATACCTATTTCTCCCAAGCGTTATGATTCTCGACGAATGACCTTGCAATTTGCATGCGTCAGTCATCGCAGAACTCACATATTGACGAAAGTATGGTTAGTCAATCATAGTCAGAATATTAGTTTGTACTTCACCTAAGTAACATAATTAACATTTCCCAATGTATTTTTTTTTTTACTTTCTATTGACATCCCTTAATAACCACGGAAAGTCCGCCGTGACAAAATAGATAAGTAATAGTAATATGGACACTAGCTCGCAGCAATAAAGTTTTGTTTAGCTTGCGTGTGCGATTTATCTGATTAATAATAATTATGTAGGCTATTAAACGTCGGTAAGCAGTCGACATCAAAGGAGTGCAACTTCTGTACGTAGTACTATTATTTATTCTGTGGTTATACGCAGCCGGGGCTAGCACGTTGTAGGCGATTCAATGTTAAAGTTTATTAACGCTGTTTACGTAAATAGTTTTGTGTAAATACTTGTTGAAATAGTTTTTCTTTAGTGTTTAGTATATTTCATTGTACGATAACATAGTTGTAAAAGTTTTAATGTATTTTAAAAATTAAATATTATGTACATTACTTATTTGATAAATTATAATAGCAAAACGTCGATCCTACTATAACTCTTGCGTGGATGGATACTAAATAAAATGACCAACAAAAGGTTTCATATCGTTCTTTAAGTTACCGAAAAAATTTAGAAGGCAGTTATGAAATGTGAATTTATTTAGTTTTTTTTATTAGATAGGTACTTACAGCAAAAAAGAATTAAGTAATAATTTGATCTCCAGAAGAAATACCTAAGTACTTTATTACAAAAATTAGTTAAAATTTACTTCACTATTCTTATTATTTAGTATTATATATTCTTAAGTATTTACTTATATACCTATACTTGTCTTTTGTAATTAAAATTCTGTAAGTTATAATAACACAAAATACGGAAATTAAAACTTTGTATACTAACAAGATTTTTAACTAAGTGGAATAGATCACATTTCTGTTAGGAATCATATTTCAGGTTTATTTGTTGTTTACACACTTTACACTATTTCTTCCGAACCAGGACTTGCGATTCCCGACGAATGACCTTGCAATTTGCATGCGTTAGGCATCGCAGAACTCACATAGGGACAAAAGTATGGTCAGTCGATCATAGTCAGAATAGGTACTTCACCTAAGTAACATAATTAACATTTCGCAATGTATTTTTTTACTTTCTATTGACATCCCTTAATAATCATTGAAAGTTCACCGTGATTTGGGAAGCGAAAAAGATACAAAGTAATGTGGACACTAACGCGCTTCATTAAGTTTTATTTAGCTTGCGTGCGCGATTTATCTGATTAATAATAATTATGTAAGCTATTAAACGTCGGCAAGCAGTCGACATCAAAGGAGTGCAACTTCTGTACGTAGTAATATTATTTATTCTGTGCTATCACTCTACACACAAGGAGGCTTACCTACACTCTACAACTATAAATTATTGATTAGTGATCTCTTTGTATGCAGTGAAATGTAAAATCTTAAAGGGAAGAGCGCTACTGTCTGAAACACAGGTATTAAGTTGTCTAGTTCAGATGCAGACGTTCACGGAATTGTATTTATTTTTAAGCTGTATTTTAAAGTATTTTTATCTTAGAAATTAAGATATTCTTTGCTTGAAATAATAAAATTATTATTATTATTATCATAGGCTGTAATGGATGGATGAATAAATTCACTATAGTGCACATTTTCTTTCCTAAAAATAGGTGAGATTGCTCCATTTGCAAGCAACTTTAGAACCACCATTCTTAGTTTATGTTTCGTTAGTTTGTGTACATTTTATGTCGAGGTATCATAAGTCCAGTTTAGGTGTATTATGATGTGTCAATCGTGAATGTTTTTTTTTCATTAGACCCGGTTCGCACCAAATATTGATGATTGCAATAACATTTTTGAAAGTAGCTGATCAAACTATTGACAAGACCTACGTCCAGAGTATAGTATAATTCGGCCGTTCAGAGAATGCGTTCCTGACACCTATCAGTTAGTCACGACTAGTGATGGGCACAACATAACACTGAGTTCGTTACCGTTCCTCCAAAATGAACCGCCGCGTTATTTTTAAGATTATTTTCGTTTTAAATTGGCGGAATCATTTAAAATATATATTTTAGTAATTTAAGTGGAAACCAAAAAAAGGTAATATTAATATAATAAAATTGTTTTATTTATTCTTTGTTACAAAGACAATCGACAAACAAATGACATCAGACTCCGATTCGCTTGAGGAGGTGGTGTTTTCATCATCATCTTCGCCTACATGTATAATTATATTATTATCAATAACAGAATCAATCCTGATATCTCGGTCAAAATGTTCAACAATCAGGTTTTTAGTCTTCTCAACAACCTTTGCCCAGTCATCTCTTGTGACTTCCCCGCAGGCTTCTTTTAATAGGGTCATCATCTTTTTCGTGCTGAACGGCGGGGAAGTATTGTGGCGGGCGGCGTAACCTTTTATTTGAGCCCAGATTAGCTCAATCGCGTTATATTGGCAATGATACGGTGGAATTCTTAGAACGCGATGACCGTACTCCAGAGTCAGTTCATCGATTTCGTATCGCACATTTGCCGCTTTATTTTCTTTAAATAATTTAATTAGCTCTGGTTTTAGCATCTGCATATTTGCGTCAATGCTTGTAACCAAGCCACCATTTCTTCTTTTTTATTAGCTTGGGTGGGTGGTTTCTGTATTTGAACCGAGTGATAGGAGGCATTATCCATGAATGTTACAGAAGGCTCTGGTAGGCTGGGCAAAAGCACGTTCTGGAACCACTCTTTAAATGTAGTAGCATTCATTTCCTCGTGGTAGTCATTTGTGGTTTTTGATTGAAATGCCAGTAACGCGTTCTCCACAAAGCCGTATTTTGCAGAACCTGCGTGGCATATTATCAGACGAGCCCCCTTACCCATTGGTACTTTCTTGTGTATCATCCGTCCAAGAACGGAAAACCGTGTGATTGGCGTTTAGCCATGTCTCGTCAATGAACACGATATTATCCCAGTTATCAATATTTTTTGCTTCTCTCAAAAAACTTATCCGTTTTAAAATTATGTCGTATCGTTCTAATAAAATTTTGCATTTGGTCTGTTTTTTATACGAAAAACCACTATCTTTTAAGATTTTGGTTAAAGCAGTTTCACCCCCGCTAAACAGTCCAGCTTCTCTTAACGATGCTAAAAGCTTCTTCCTGTTGAGATATTAATTTCTGGAACAGTAACCATGTATATGATTTCTGATTGCATCGGCGTCAAAGGTGTCAATATCTGCCACGGGTTTAGTTCTACGTTTCTTCTTCGGAGTACGTAAAATATTATCTTCCGTGCCAGTAGAGCCGAACTTTTCTTTATTAATATTTGTTATCGTTCGTTTGCTAACTCCAAGCGCCTGAGAGACGCGTTCTTGTACTTGTTCGACAAGTAACAGGGGTCCGCCATTTTGCCGCTCCCGCTCAAAGTAATCTTGCAGCTTGATGATTAACTCACGGGCTCCACTTTTCAATGTTTGTCCACGTTTAGGCATTATTATGCACCAAAAGTAAAAAGAACGCAATACAAAACACAATCGAAGTCCGATTTAGCGCCGATGTCAGTTTGAAAAGCAGAAACAGTCCATTAAACAAAAGCCGGGTAATCAAATAAAAACAGATCGAAAACACTTGAAGAACGTGGTCTATGCGCACGAAACGACAACAGACGACTGTTTTAGCGTCACAAAATGGCGGCTCATAACGCCATTTGGGGTTACCATTTTCAACCTAAATAGATGATGCCTCAGGCATTAAGTCCGCCTATATAAATCTAATGTGTATATGAAGTTAAATAAATAAATAAAAATGCTACTTTCTTTCGCGCGTTCGGTTTGGTCGTAGTTTTATTTTTATATTTAATAAAAGTTATAGTCCATTATTTTTAAATTCTTAAAAAGAAAAACAAAACGTATTATTTTATAAAGTATAACTGTATAAGAACAGATTACGATACTGTTATTGCCTGTTATTGTTAGCACAGCACTACAAATATAAAGCGCTGACATAACCTTGTAATAGCGCAGTATAGATTTAGAAAAATATTGTTGTTTATCAAGTTATTTGACACTCAGTTTGGCACAAAATTATAACATTCATTTATTATTGATATAATAATGTTGTTTTAATGCTCATCAATTATTAAAACGGTAAACAACCAGCAAAAATATTTTTATCGTAACTGCAACGCCATTACAAAGTTACGTCGTCAGTTCAATCGCGACGTGTCAGGAACACATTCTCTGAACGGCCGAACTATAGTGTCCGCCAACCGACACTATCGAGCGGCTCCCGAAATGTTCCATTTAAATGACTTGAATAATCGGGTCACTAGATATTAATGAATGACAACGTTTGAATTACAGCAGTCTTATGTATCAGAGTTACATTTTTCCTTTTTTTTTGCAGATACCACCTTATGAACAACAATTGTAATCATTTCACATCGGCGTTTTGTTTGGTAAGCACAATGTTCGTAGTTATGAATCATGTAGAATTAAGTTAACCAAGTAAAAAGTATTTTTAAGTCGTTTAATTTATTATAAACTCATTGCATTTATTTAGTTGATCTTAATGTCAATTCGACTGCATTTTTTATATGTGTTACCTCAGAACTTTTTATCTGTGCCTTTATTGTTGATTAAATTTGTTAAAATATTTTCCCTTTCTTACTTTCTAGGCGCTCTGCGACCACGACATTCCCTCGTGGGTGAACCGGCTCGCATACGTCAGCTCCTGTGTGCCATTCCTACAAAGATGTCTGCCAAAGTATGTTAACAAATGAACTAATCTGTGAATAATTTGTAAATACATTTAGGATGAAAAGCGCACGCATCGGAAAAGCATTAAAATTAAAAAGTATAATAAGCATTCACTGTGTAGAGGCGGTTTAGGTATACCCCCCTCGTGGCACAGGAAAACAAGCCAGAAGATGGCAGCAGAAAAATCTGTATTTGCCAAATCACTTGCCAAGCGTGGCAACTATAGTAAATATCCTCTCTATGAGGCAATCAATGGGCAGGGGCTATGCTCCACAGTGGACTTCAATAGAAACGGTAACGATTACATACGGATATAATAGAACATTACCGTGAGGCGGTACGTCGACCAGTTGGTAATCCGTATGACGTCATCGACACGTTTCGTGATCGCTACGAATCAGTGGACGAACTCGTTTGACTTTTTTTCGTGCGAGCAGCTATGCCGGTCTAGAAAGGCAAAAATCACTGCGACCTGTAAGATCTATTGTGATAACTGCTATATTTTTTTTATAGAATAAAAGTGACAAACGAGCATACAGTCCTGATGGTAAGTGGATACTGTCGCCCATAAACATCTACATTTATCCTCGATTAAGAATCAAAAAGCAGATGCATTGTCACCCCTGAAGACTAAAGCTTTGGTCTCTTGATCGTAACGCACAACGCTGCGGTATGCAGCTCAAACGCAGCGTCACGACGTAGCGTTTAGCATCTCAGCGGAGAAGTGGTCAGTTGATTTTGCCGCAGCTACCAAAGCAAACGTGTCAGTCAACATGAACAATATTTTTGAAATTTGTGCTTTACTTGAGGAGGGGGATAATAGCTGTGGTAGCTCAGACGGTTAACGCTCGCTGTAAATATAACAGAACGCGAGTAACCCGGGTTCGATCCCTGTCGGCACCAATGAAATTGTTAATTGCAATTTTAAGTGCTGATTGACCACGTGCTCGGCGGTGAAAGAAAACATCGTGGGGAAACCTGCATGTCTGAGGAATAAGAAAAAATGTATTTCGAAGACATGTGAAATTCGTCAACACGCATTGGGGCAGCGCTGCGGACACTTCCTTGCCCTAAAACCCTCTCAGAAATGAGGGGAGGCCTGTGCCCAGCAGTGGCACGTATATAGGCTGTAACTTTACTTTACTTTACTTTGAGGAGGAGGAAGAAGAATTTCTACTGCTTCCGAAAAGATAAAGAAGCATTAATTATATTAAATTATCTTCAAACAAATCCATTGTCAACCCGTAACGCACACCGTAGCGTCGCAACGAGAACGATACCGCGCAGTGCGGAGTACCCGCTCCCCGCTTCACCGCGCTTGCCCTTCGTAGCTGATGCATACTGTGACGGAACAAGAGACCATTCTACACGGTTTTCATACGATTATGTGCCCGCATACCGCAGCGTTGTGCGTTACGATCAAGAGACCAAAGCTTACGATGGAATGCCTCCTTTCCAGAGTAAAAAAGGATCTCCAGATGCTTACTAGCTTCACTAGTTTTCTTGTTGTCCTGCTGATACACTAGAAGGGTTGTCTGTAAATATAGTAATCCACAACAGTGTATGATCTAAGCTGGTCTATATTTGTAAACTATATTTTCAGTGCCTTATTAAAACAAAATATAATACGTCATTGTCAACGTCATTTATCAAAAAAAGAACTAAAACTTTTTAAAATATAAAAATATGGTTTCTTCATAAACCATAGACTTAGAATATACTGGCGTATAAGTCTATGTCATAAACACCGGATCTCTACACTCACCATACGAAACACAACAGCTGCTATTTGACGCTGGTATTCTGTGAGAGCGTGGTTTTTCCCGGTCGAGACGACCTATTCGTGCTATAACAATAATATAGCTGCAGCGTGGCTCTACCACGTACAAAATGCTATGGTTGTATAGTTCACTTCTAAGCCCTATGTCTTCAATTAATAGAAGGAGTTGATTTGAGAAATGTCGCTTCTAAGCTAAGTACATAGTTTCTCAGATGAGTATTACGTTTGCGCATTAAGAGTCCACAATCAGCGTGTTATTGTTGTTTAACTTACCTACTATACAAATAACTCTAAAATGTATGTAAATATTTTACGTTTACGTCGGCTTAGTACGGGTGATTTCTGCATCTTGACAACAGCGGCACCTGACGGTGCCAATTGAGTTTTAAAAATCATTCAGAGACCCACTCAAACAAACACGCGCGCACGCACGCACGAACGCACGCACGCACGTACGCACGCACGCACATACGCACACACACACACACACACACACATACACACACACACACGCACACAAAATAAATTCAACAAAATCGGTCGAGCTAGTTTCGAGTTTATAAAATATATTTGACTACTTATAAACAAATTTTCCGTCATATGATTTTATGATCTTATGTTTTGATAATCTATCACCCGTTATTTTACTACTAGTAAACTAAAGAGTCGTGGTGGAGAGCCGTGGTAGCTCAGATGGTTAACGCTCGCTGTAAATATAACATAACGCGAGTAATCCGGGTTCGATCCCCGCCGGCACCAATGAAATTGTTAATTGCAATTTTAAGTGCTGATTTACCACGTGCTCGGCGGTGAAGGAAAACATCGTGAGGAAACCTGCATGTCTGAGGAATAAGAAAAAAATATTTCGAAGACAAGTGAAGTTCGCCAACACGCATTGGGGCAGCGCAGCGGACACTTCCTTGCCCTAAAACCCTCTCAGAAATGAGGGGAGGCCTGTGCCCAGCAGTGGGACGTATATAGGCTGTAACTTTACTTTACTTTGAGGAATAAATTACTATCGCACAAGTGAATTAAGTTCTAACTTGTGTTAATGATATTTTCATTGAAAAGATATCAGCAGTTATAAATTATTATATTTGAAACAGATTTTCAATACCTATGTATTAGTGTATATATGTAATGATAACTGACGTCACTTTATTGGCAGAGAATGGCTGACTCCGGCCGCACTGCAACACTCGCTGGCGGCGCACTCTCGTTCGTCCTCACCCAACACGCCGCAATAGCACCGTGAGTATATTTTACTTTATCTTTCGTATCATTTATATCATGTTGGTCTGGGATTTATAAATCCCAGATTTATGTGGGGCTAGGGCTACCATCTGACCAGATAAATCCGGTGTGTTCCTAGTGTTTACTGACTGAAGATCTGCCTAGATTTCCTCCATCACTGGCAGTAGCCAAAATATGGCCATAAAATATACAGTGTGTATCTGGTCACGACCTAGCGATAATTTAAGGTTACAAAGTATACCTAATTTCATCGACGGAAACACCCATATATGGGGGTCTACGCCCCCTCCTGTCGGAATGGCCGCCAAATTTTTTTTTAGTCTTGTAGATACCTCTGCCAAAAGATGCAGATTTCTCTGGACAGAAAGGTCCTACAGATGTAAAAAAAATGTTATTTAAAAGGTAAAAATAGCATCTATCAAATAAAAATAAACATCACGGAAAGTTTTCCCTACAAAATATCTTAAAACATTTACAATGCTAATTTAAGTTAAAAAAATGACTATTTTTTATATTTTTCTTAACATACTTCAAAAACTAGCACATTGATACAAAATTTTTTAATACTGTCCTAATACTTAAGGATATTACTTACAAATTGACATTAAAATTATTGTTCTTAATTGCATAACTCGAGAGTTATGTTATGAATATGACCCTTTTGCGACGGTCCCAAACCCATGTAGAGCTACCTGCTACATTGAATAGGGTTTATGTGACAAGGACGGAAAATGATTTGTATTATTCTTAGGCGGTGAAGAGCCGTGGTAGCTCAGTGGTTAACGCTCGCTGTAAATATAACAGAACGCGAGTAATCCGGGTTCGATCCCCGCCGGCACCAATGAAATTTTTAATTGCAATTTTAAGTGCTGATTTACCACGTGCTCGGCGGTGAAGGAAAACATCGTGAGGAAACCTGCATGTCTGAGGAATAAGAAAAAAAAATATTTCGAAGACATGAAGTTCGTCAACACGCATTTGGGCTGCGCGGCGGACACTTCCTTGCCCTAAACCCTCTCAGAAATGAGGGGAGGCCTGAGCCCAGCAGTGGGACGTATATAGGCTGTAACTTCACTTTACTTTACTTTAGGCGGTGAATAAGTAGGACAATAAATCATGTTTGACCAGCGCAGGTATCGAAGATAAATGTTTGTTAGATCAGTTGTCCTCCGCTCTTCGTTGCGATCGCTACTATTCCGTTCCGTTTTGTGAGCTATTCCTTCACCGAGATATTCTGCTGAGTTTGCAGTGACTACGTAATTTTCGGATAAAAACATGTCGTAACTATTCGTCTCACCACATAGCTGACATGCATTCCGTGTATGGCAGATGTAATGGAAGCGCTGCTGCCGCCGTACGAATGTATCGTCAGAGGTATCCCGACCGGCCTACACCCAGTCGACAAACTTTTGTTGACATTCACTTAAGATTGTCGCAATATGGCATCCAAAGGCCGCCAAATGAACTCCCGCATAGTGTCAGTGCAAGCAGAAGAAGAAGTTCTTCAATTTATTTACCGAGATCCCAGGCTCAGTGTAAGGCGAATAGCAATGATGCTGCATTTGTCAAAATGGCTTGTGTGGAAAATTTTAAAACGCGAAGGCATGCATCCGTACCATTTTCGTCGCGTACAAGATATTCGAGAGCCAAACTATGCTGTGCGAGCCACTCTTTGCTCGTGGCTTAACGGTTGTGTGCGACGTCAACTGACATTTTGTAAAAAAATCATGTGGACCGATGAGGCGACTTTTACAAGAGCTGGTATTATAAACCATAGAAACCAGCATTTATGGATGCAAGAAAATCCAAATGCAGTAAGGCCCCGTAAATTTCAACATGAATTTTCAGTAAATGTGTAGGCGGCTATGATTGATGACAAATTAATTGGACCAATTGAATTACCAAATACAATGAATGGCCTAAGATTTTTAGATTTTCTAAGGAACACATTTAGAGAAATCATGGAGGAATTACCAGTGATCAACCGAAGGCGCATGTGGCTACAATTGGACGGTGCACCAGCTCACTACGCACGTGCTGTGAGAGCTTTTCTTAATGAAAATTATTCACCATGGATAGGATGTGGTGGAACGGTAGCTTGGCCACCTCGCTCTCCGGATTTAACACCTCTGGATTATTTTTTATGGGGATTGATGAAGCAGAGGGTTTATGCTACAGTCCCAAATAGCAGACAAGCTCGACAAAATAATGACGATTGCGGATGACATAAGATCCGTCATAGTCTTAATATCAAGGGCCACACAACAAATGACTGTAAGGTCAGTAGCCTGTCTACAGAATAGAGGTGGACATTTTGAACAATTATTAAATTAATAATAGTACTTAATGCCATTAAAAGTTTCTTAAAAGTTATAGTGTATATTTATTTAATTCATTATCGAAAATTAATAGCGCTCATATGAGGCTCTACATACATGACCATCGCAAAAGGGTCATATTCAAATAGCCCTAACTCTCGAGTTATGCAATTAAGAACAATAATTTTAATGTCAATTTCTAAGTAATATCCTTAAGTATTAGGACAGTATTAAAAAATTTAGTATCAATGTGCTAGTTTTTGAAGTATGTTAAGAAAAATAAAAAATAGTCAATTTTTTTACTTAAATTAGAATTGTAAATGTTTTAAGATATTTTGTAGGGCAAAACTTTCCATGATGTTTATTTTTATTTGATAGATGCTATTTTTACCTTTCAAATAACATTTTTTTACATCTGTAGGACCTTTCTGTCCAGAGAAATCTGCATCTTTTGGCAGAGGTTGTCGTGAAGCGACAGTTAAAAACTAAAGAACCTAACCTAACAACGAAACAACCAAAAAGAAAATAATTTATTTAAAATTTGTAAAGATATTTACAGTTTCTTTTATAAAATGTAAAGCCACAATTAAAAACTATAGAACCTAACCTAACAACGAAACAACCAAAAAGAAAATAATTTATTTAAAATTTGTAAAGATATTTACAGTTTCTTTTATAAAATGTAAAGCCACAATTAAAAACTATAGAACCTAACCTAACAACGAAACAACCAAAAAGAAAATAATTTATTTAAAAAATTGTAAAAAAAAATTGGAAAGAGAAGGTATGAGGGTGATGATGGGCTGTAGTGATGATAGTGAATTACAATTTTTTAAAAAAAATAAAAGTTAATAAAGATAAATGAGTACGGAAACAATGTATGTACAGGCTATGCCTGTGGTAGATGCACAGCGCCTAATCTAGGTACACGCAGCGCTTGAAGTAGGCACACACAGCGACCAGAATGAGCACACACAACACCCGGAGTAGACACACACAGCGCCTGGAGTAGACACGCAGCGTCTGGAGTAGGTCCACGCAGCGTCTGGAGTAGGTACACACAGCGTATTGAGCAGGTACACGCAGCACTTAGAGTAGGCACACACACACCGCTCGGAGTAAGCACACACAACGCCCGGAGTAGACACACACAGTGCCCGGAGTAGACACACACAGCGCCCGGAGCGCCGGAGACACGCAGCGTCTGGAGTAGGAACACGCAGCGCTTGAGACAAGCACGCTCAGCGGCCGAAGATAGCGCGGGCACTAATAGGTGGAGGCGTAGGCGTGGCTAGGCGACGACTTCAGGAGAAGGCAGAGGCTTGCAAGATCCCGAGGCAGTGCGGATAAAGCCTTTAAGAGGTGCTTCTCGTATCAAAGCTGAAGTGAGAACCTCTATTGGCCGATTCTTCGGCTTTTATACTTTTTGACGGATCTGGGATAAGAACGAGAAATTATTTGAAATTATTTAAATTAAAAGCAAATTTTTGTAAATGGCCAAGAAGAAAAGAGTATTTTTGAAGTAAAAACATCAGGCCGGTAACGATATTTAAATAAAAATTGCCATGACAACCAGATAAACAACGATGTCAAAACATGTGTGCACGAAGCCCGAAATTGCAGAGTTACGGAGAACTAAATAAAAGACCGAAAAAGGTAGACTCCATTGACACCAATTTAAAAAGTGCTGATAACGTGAAAATACGATGTGAAAATGATTTGTTATTGTGTTCTTATGGTTTAAAAACGTTACAGGATCCTATGAAAATAAAGGTGATGCAAAATATCCAGTTTTGAGGCTAATACAGAAAATCAAAAACAGAATGGAAAAATAAATTTAAAATAGTGTAAAATGATATGTAAGTAGCATAACACTACAAGGTATCTACAGGAATAAAAAAAAATTAAATGGCGGCCATTCCGATAGGAGGGGGCGTAGACCCCCATATATGGGTGTTTTCGTCCATGAAATTAGGTATATTTTGTAACCTTAAATTATCGCTAGGTCGTGACCAGACACACTGTATAAGTTGTAATAAATGTTATTGTTGTTATTATTGTATATAAGTATAATGTATACATTCTATTGAGTATTATCACCGGTATGCCAGACTTTTTTCCAAAAATCAGGATTAAATTCTGATTTTCAAAAAAATGTCCGCTTTTCCAAGTCCACCTGCAATCGCACCTCCAATTCTAAGCCCTGGTGACTATGTAGAATTAAAAAAAAAAAGAATTTGCTAACGTTGTTACTTCCTAGCTTGCCTTAAAAGGCAACCGGTATAGGTCATCACTGGACTAGCACTATCACTTCTTTCTCAATTTTCCATCTTAACCCATATTTTTGTCTAAACATGGTCCAAGTGCTTGCTGTTTTTTGAACTGTGACTACCACTTTTGGGATTGCAGGGTTGATGGTTATTTAATATTTATATGTACTTACGAGACATGCCTTTTAAGTTATGTCGTTTACATATTTATCGGCCATTTTAAATTTGAAACTGTCCCATATTCAAATTTGCTTAAAATCAAAATCTCAAAACAATTGAAAGTATAAGGATTAATGCTATTGTTTAGTCACAGTCGTTTTGAATCTGTCAGGTCACGTATGAAAATGAATCTTACTATAATATCCGTGCAATAAATTTCTACAGCAAGAACTAACTTTCCAGTTC